TTTTATAAAAGAAATAACATAAACTGAAAGGTAAAAATGTATTTCTAAAATAATCAGCTCTTTGTTGGTTTAGATTTATACATTACTGAAATGAAGAAGGGTTACACTTGGTGCCATTGTCACCGCCTCTCCACACGCAAGAATTCCAGTCTCAGCTATATTGTAGAAAAATATATTTATGACCTATTTCTTATTCAGTGTTTTCCACATATTGATTTAATCGGGGTGGGGCCACCAGAAACATCAATGGCTGCCGTAGTATTCGGCAACACATTTTAGTATTTCTTAATTTTTCATCTAATAGCAGCACTCATGATTGATTACAGTTTTACATTGTTTTATTTGTGGAGGCCCGCCACAGTATTTTATTGTAAAAGTTAAGTTAGCCAGCTCGCTCAGGCCCGTCCCGTCTTGTATTTACCTACCAGGTTCTTGGTGGTTCTTTGTCATTCAGCTGCCTGTCCAGTGAGTCTTTTGTTGCACAGACAGGCTCCAACTCCAACATTTTGTCACAAAGTACTTGGCAATTAAAATATTTGCAGTGGAGCATCATATATACAAATATATTTAATGCTATTTATTAATTGATTTAAAAAACCATGCCTCCTTCCAAACACACGTGCATGGCACTTTGCTGAATTACCTGCCGCTGTAAACAAAGTTAGTGTAGCTCACACAAATGCTAAAATGCATGAATAGTACAAATTCTAAATTGCTCCACATTGCTATGTTTCTATGCATTTGCAGGTATAAATTAAACAAATAAGTAAAGTAAGGGTTAGCAGTTAGCCTTAATATGCTAATATTGTAATTTTTACAAAGTCGTGCTAGCTTCTGCTGCAATGGCTTTTTGTTTCGATAGCTGATTGCCAGCACTGTTTACCTAGAACTGATTTAAACACAGTATTGAAGTCTTTAAATGAAGCTTAAAAGAAGCGATCTGACACAGTACAACTACTGGGTAGTACAAAGAACTGGGGAAGGACTTACCATACAGACATTTGAATACATTTATGAACAGCTCATGCAGCCTGGCCCAGACACATTTTGTTCCTTTTCAATTTGTGTATTAAAAGCATCAAAATATTCTTGAACGTCACAGTTTTTATAGCTGCTAATGGTTTCAAATAAATCTATTTTTTGACCTGTAATCACCTCATCTCGGTGCCTCGGGCTAAGCATTTGCATGACAACAATTTAACATACTTTTGTACCGTTCATTTAAATTTCTTAAGTTTTCACAGAACTTTCAGGCATTAAAACTGCATGACTTGATATCTTTTGTATCCTGGCGACACATGTCTGTGAACTTCGGGATGATGTGGTATGAAGCTGCTGGGTAGCAGAAGGCTTAGTTTGTAACTCTTTTTATTACACTAGGCCCAACAACGAGCTGGTGGAATTTGAAGCATTTTGCCAGGCTGTGGAAAGAGAAGAGCGAGGGGGGGTTGAGAAAGTTTATGTAAGCATGTGAGCTAGAGGCCTGAGAAGGCTGAGGAATGTGGGGTAGGGGTGAGTGAAATTAACGGAGGTAGTTCAAAGCAAACCCCAACAGAACGTACAAGGAAGTGCTGGTTTATGTTGCATTACCTCTACATAGTCAACACTTTGCAGGTCAATGGTTGATCTGCGAATGCATATTTCCACAGTTGGGTCAGAAATGTGAAAATCAGCACAACAGACTAAGTAGATATCGTCTAATCTCGTATTGACGGCGTACGCTATATTTAGAAACTTTCCCTTCTCGCGCTAGATAACTTGTGACATGCAGTGAAGTGTTTAAAGCAGGTTTTTTTTTGCAGCAAATTTCACCCTCTTCAAACTGTGGATAAGTGAGTTTCTGAAGAATAAACTCTTTGTGTATCTGCGCAGGATGTTGATTTAAGTGCATACATATAAAATACCTGCTGGTCTTGATAGTTGAAAATCTGTTGGCTGTCTGAGGATTCGACCACACTGCCACTGTGCTCAAGCAGCTTTGAAGAACAAAGCCAGAGGGAAAAGAAAAAAGTAAGGGAAAAAAAAAAAAGCGGAAAGCAAATCTGGCAGAGGCTGTTCAACAGTCTGTTTTTTTTTTTTTTTTTTCTTGTGGCCCAAGGGCAGGTTTTGCTTCTGCTTTACTGGGTAGGCTAGGTATATAGAGTGGGTGTGGCAAGTAAATTCTTCAGATTCATCTTTCACGTGCTTTGTTCGTAGCTATTCTCCCAGAGGCTATGGCAGATAGCTTTTCATAAGTGCTGTTTTAGACATTTAAGGTCAGTTTTTCCTGATAAATATGAACAAAAAGCTCGAGCATTTTAGAAATGGCAGACATGTGGACAGCAACCTCTGTGAGATCCTCTTGTTGCTTGTTTTTTTTTATCCTCAAAATATGAAGTTTTCTTATGTATGCTGATAGCTACAAGGAGAGGAACTATGAGCAAAAAGCATGACCCTGGTGAAAATGGAATTGTTCTGCTACGCTGGTGTCTGCCACTCAAATAGATGAGCACTCAAGCATGGGCATCTCCTTGGCAGAAGCACAAAAGATATCTTGTACTTTCCCAATTGTCTCTTCTTTTCTCTTGTACTTTGTCTTATTAGTTCATGTGCTTGTGCACACATGACTACTTCTGCTGGGCTCTACCTTCATTCCTTACACCAACCTCTCTTACCTTCTCACCTGCTCGTTCATTTAGCATTCTCTAGTTAATATTCCTTTTCCGCTGCTTCCTTTATTGGATGTTTGAAAGTTTTACCCCCGTATTCTTTTGCATCTCTGCTCATTGTGCCTCACATAAGAATTTCTTATTTATGTCAAACATTTGTCCTGCATGTTTTCTTCCAGTCGTGCTCATAATATCCACTACAACTGGTCAGCTTCAGTGGAATCACAAATCTGCCGTTATCATGGTATTGCAGTAGCCGATTTTAAAAAGTATTGCAATCATTTTGTATCTGTTGGTCTCATTTTGCGTTTTGGATAGAGTCATCTCATTTGCATTCTGGATATACTGCCCAGTGTTGTTTTTTGCCACGGGACTCTTGGCTTTGGGAAACATTGGGGAGCTACCTATTTTCCCTTGCCTGACTACCCTTCTTATTACATGCCTGAAGCTAAGTTGAGAGAGCTGTAATGATGACTAATGACAAGAGAGGATCCCAGGACGAAAATGCAGGGAAGCCAAAGTAAAGCGGGGCGAGAAAACAAATGAGCTGTACCCACAAAATCCCCTCCCGGGGTGCGAAATTTGTGACAAGTCATTTTGCTCGCTATCTCTTTTTGGAGTTACGTTTGATTACCCAAAACAAGTGAAACTCCTGGTAAAACTTCTTCAGCGCAGTTTATCAGGTTACAGCGAGTGAACAAAGGCTAGAGCAACACAAAGACACTCCATGTAAACTACTCAAACTTTGAATTGTGTCTTTATGCTTTTGTCGAGGCTCTGTATCTGGGCCACGAAAAACTGGGAGTGTACTATAGCTTCAGGCTCGCTGTAGGAAATGGACAACACCCCGTAGCCGCTAATGCTACGGACGTGATTCACTTTTATTAGTTTCACATAATAACAAAATCAAATATAGCCATAAATTCCATCGCAGCTATCAAGGTTAAACAGGTATTTCAAGTAACACAGACATGGAAATGGCTGCCGTTATTAAGGTTGTCAGAGTTTCCATTGTCTGGAAGATATTAGCGGGTTTATGTTGCCCTTCACAGAGGCAGATTTTGTGCTTGTTGAAATAATGGGACCCCACGTGTGCAAGTTATCCAGATAATACGCTGTTGTTGTTACATTAGCTGCTTTATTGCATCCGAGAACCTTGTTGTTTTGTTTTTGTTCTTACTCTTTTTAAGCACTGTAGCAACAAAAGGAGAAGAATTGTGCCAATTTAACCTCAATCAGTGCATTTTTATTCACACAGTAACCCGATGAGCCAATCGAGGCATCTGCTAGAATATGGCGTTCACAACCCTTGCAGTAAATTGATTTTTTACACTGTATGAAGAATCCGGATGGATGAGTTGTAGTCACCAGGAACTCAACAACCCCCCCCAAAAAAATGGAGGAGCTTAGATTTTATGCTGGTGGAAAAGAATGTCAGTGTTCTTATTCAGCACCTTTGGCAAAACCGCACTTTTTGTTTTTGTGACATTTCTTTTTGTTCTTTGTATAAAATAAAAACAGGAAGAAATTGGATCTCGTGCACCAAGGTACACAATAATTAGAAAGATTTAGGTCAATCTGGATTTGTAGGTTGTGCACACTCCAACTTCAGGTAATCCGGGGAGATTGTATATTGCAGGAGCAGTAATTAAGGTATCACCTCAGACTGTGTATGTAGCACTTATCACAAGTAAACTAACACAGAGAGCACACTTCCTCTCTCCCAAACCGATAGTCCTACCCCTGCTGACAGACACACACACTCTCAGTTATCCCTTCCTACAGCACAGCGTACCTCCTGAGCACCTGGTGAGTTCTTGTAAGTCGAGTCAAGACGGGGAAGGAAAACTGCATTGTTTTTAAAAGCAGGTACACCGATGCTGAAGACTGCATTTAGACTTTTTTTTTTTTTTACTCGTCAGCCTCATGTTTTGCCATATCCCCCGTTTCCACATTACAGAATCTACTTATTCGTCAGTTTAACCGGTGTAAACCTATACAACTTGTGTGCGTCTGAAAGCTCTTGTTTGCTCAGCTGAAGGTTACAGCCCCCACATGGCAGTGAAATGTAAACAGGAGAGCACTGACTTGTTGTTGTTAATATACCACCTTGACATCTTTTCAGGCAAAAGGCCTTTTCAGTCAACCCCTACATCTGCCTGCTCAGGGGCATCTGGTGTTCGAAAGCTTCTGTTCTCTTCATTGCCAGAAATCGATTTCAGAGATCACTGATAGTGCAGGCAGTAATGTTAGACTCAGGTCGTGTATTGCACATAAAAATGTTCTCCAACATGATGCGGACTTAAGAGTTTATTTATGTCTTTTTTTTTTTTTTTTTTTTAAATCTCTTAGGTGTCATTCGAACCCAGGAACTGCTGGATCATGAAACAACGCCTCACTACTGGCTGACGGTGTACGCGATGGACCGTGGCGTGGTGCCCCTCTCCGCCTTCGTCGAGGTCTACATAGAAGTGCTGGATGTGAACGACAATGCACCGCAGACCTCCGAACCTGTCTACTACCCGTCCGTCATGGAGAACTCCCCCAAAGATGTGTCGATCATCCAGATAAACGCCGTTGATCCAGATGCCAAGTCCACCGATAAACTCACCTACAGGATCACCAGCGGCAATCCCCAGGGTTTCTTCGCCATTAACACCAAGACAGGTAAGATGGCTATTACGAGGATGGAAATTAATGTCACTATAAATTGTGTCCTCAGAATGGGAAGTCCATGACCTCGTGTTGTAACACGGGACAAATTGTACCCTTGAAAAAGGCTGTTAGATTGTGTGAAAGAAAGCTTTTGACGACTACAAAGAAATCAGCTCATCGGGTGTCGCTATCGACGGCGGCCTTGTTCCCAATACACAATTATATTATTATTTCTTTTCTTTCTTCTGACATCGCTAAGGTCACACGGGAGCGTAGCTGGAAATACCACATGTATTTTCCTCACCTAGATACGCTAGCTACTGTAAAGGTCATAAAAACATACAAAGATTTTCTACATTTTAAATTGTCTTTTGAGACTCAATCCAGAGTTGTACAGTAGAGCACGGCTGACGAGGTTGCAAGCTTCTACGAGGTTTCCTGTTTCTTCTCTTTTGAAAAAGAAGAGCAGTGTGAACGCAGTGTTTTCACCCAGAACAGGAGTGGGTTAAGCCTGCTGGGGTTTTTCCACTCTAACACTCTAAAGTGTGTTCTCATATGGTAGTCCGGAAATGGTGTGATGATTAATATTTCATTGGACTCTTTTAAAGTTGCTAGAGCAGGCTATGTTTAGTTGAATAGAGCAGAAAAAAAAAATACTTGTAATAGTTGCAAAGTGAAGCCTTATGCATAGACCAAGCTTTTCTGTTAATTTACAGATTGCTTCTTGTTGAATTCAGGGTCACACAGAAGAATTTGTCTAGATTTTGTGCTGTAACGACACATTTACAAAATCAAACAAAGCATAGCAGTTAGCGTAAATAACATTTGCAGTAATTAGATAATTAAAATTCTGACTCTGTCTTTGAAAGGTCCCGTCACTGAGTTAGTTGAACCTAGCTTACACACAGGCCTCTTATTGCTGTGAATGCAAGTGATCATTAAACTGAAATGAGGAATGGGCAGTGAAGCAGTTGCTCCAGTTTGTCCTCACTGCCGTGTGTGGTCCTGTTTCCCAAGGTAGTCGCATCAACAAACTGGAGTTATTTTTGTTGGAAGTGGCAATGTGAATTTTCTGACCAAATAAGGATTCCTCATGTAGCGTGCCTCCCGAGCAAGGCCCACGGTAACGCCGGGCACTCCCCTATGCACAGGAAGAGAGAGAGAAAATAAATGATAAAGAAAAAAAAGAATAACTTTAGGTATGCACACATATGAGTGGATGTTTTGTCTGCGTGCATGAGAAGATCAGCGAACGCACGCTGATAACAAGTCTGGGATCCTGAAAAAAAAAGGCTGCAGGGAAATTACCATGCAACAAATAAGTCATAAATAACACAGTTTAAATAACACTGGCTGATAGGTGGAGGGAAGATCTTGCAGTTGTTTATGTGTTACGTATATCCCAGTTTCCTCCTTATACTCAGTGGCAGCACAGAAGCAGCACGTCTTGAACCGAGTTGCATCACGTTTCGGTCTTTCGTTTTGCTGCAAGACTGTATGTATTAATTTTTCTTTCCTTCTTGCCTGCTGAGGATGACCTTCTACTTCTGCTGAATTCTTCTTAAATAATTTCTGATTGAAGCCCAGATGCTGTTGTTTCTGGATGTTCACAAATGCCCGTGGTAAACTTACAGTTCATCACTTATTCAGCAGTCGAATAAAGTCTTCTCTGCCCACATATCTGTAGTGAATATTTCCTACTGCAAGAAGTGCACGATATTTATGAAGCTCATGGTCATGTCCACTGTGGGCAGAACCTCCTTACAGTAAAACTGGCCGTATCTTCATGTGTTTCTTTCTTCTGCCCGTCAGAAGCGCTCGCTGAACATGAAAATGGTTACACTGAAGCATAAGGATAAGGCCCGTTCATGCATATCAAAGCATGTTAAAACTTTTATTAGCGGGACACTAGAGCCCTTCGCATAAGGTTCAACAAAGAGTGGTTACTTCATTTAATCACTGCTCTTGTTGCTTTGATTTTTTTTTTTCTTTCCCTTCTTTGTTTTTGAAGATTGCGGCACTGAGTGGAGGTAGAGAGGTGGGTGGGGAGAGAAAACAAGAGGAAACAGGCTTCCAAGTGTAGCCAGAGAAGACAGCGAGAGCTTTTTAAAAAGAGAGACGTTTTTTTTGTTTGTTTGTTTGTTTTTTTAGCACGGAAATGATTGCAAATTATTTGTTGCAATCGGAGGTATTGAGCATGTTCAAAATAACCTGATATCTGTCCATTTTATCAACTCAGTATGACATTCTCACCGCATATTACAGGTTTTTGAAAATGTTTAAATTTACAGCACGCAAGTCTCTGTAATTACACGTTCTAAAATTGCGTTGGAAGCAAAGGCCCTGTCTTGGCATATCTACAAAGCTCTACAAAGGGGTGGGAAAAAGGAAAAGGCCTATGTTTTTTGTGTGGGTTTTGAAACTTCATAGGCATGTGTTCCAAACTAACTAGCTAGCGCTCCGTCGCGGGCTACGGCTATATGCTGCTACCAAGCAGCCAGTTCAGCTCCAAGCATATATGAAGACTTTACTTGACGCCTTGGGTGGCGTTGGTTTGCCCTTTTTCCACACAGACCCACAGTGGCTCAGTAAAGCCCAGGATGAAAGGCTTAGGACTGCTTTATTTCTGCCAAGTAAACAAGTCCTGCTGTTTTGGATGTTCCCTGACTTTAGCTTGTCATTAAAGTGCAAGGCCAGCTCTTCTCTTCAGCAGACACTATTGCAATCCCAATGTCTGAAAGCTTAGAACTTAGCTGCTTGATATAGCCTTGCTTCTGGAGGGATTGGAAAAAGGGGAGAGAAGAACTAGGCAGATCCATACAGGAGGAGGGAGGATTGTGCCAGTCAGCTAGATATGAATTATGTGTTCTATATCAGTGTGAGATCAGTGAATTTGAATAATGCTGTATGGCTCTAAAAATTTTAAAAGACGAACCAGTTGTCTGGTGGCACAGATCTTATCCCACCCACAGACAGACAACGATGGCAAACCAAACGCAGCATGGTGAGAAACGTGGAGGAAAAGAAGCAGGACTGGGATTTTTGTGGCTCATTTGATCAAAGCGGCGTTTTTTTCTACTGTGAACTGATCGTGTTCCTTTTTATTCTTCCTGTATATTTTGAAGAGTTGTTCTCTTCTGTCTTTATAGGTAAGAAGATTTAAATTTCCTTGGCAGTGAATCATGGGCTTGTTGCTAACGGATCACAACAGGAAGTAGGCCAGATCCATGTGTGTTAATGTATTGAGGAGCAATCACGAGTTGTTTATTATTTGGGCTGTAAATTTAGAATAATGATGCTTGGTCCACGCATAAAGCACCTGAGACAGCCGGCCCACCGGTTGTCTAGTTTCATTTTCTCATGATAAAGGAGGTGTCAGCGCTCCGAGCTAGTTCATTTGAGGTTGTTGACATGCGTTGCCCACCTTTTCTGTGGGAGAGCGAGCCGTGTTCATTACCTGGTGAATCACTCTCTCTTTTTCTCTGAAACGCTTCGGCTGTGCAATGAATCCGTGGACTTTGAACCAGAGGCCTTGTGCCAGAACATGCATGTGTTAGGAACGAGCAGCCAAGCAGAACATGTAGTCAGAACACGCACACACACACAGAGGAAGTTTTCCATATTTAAGTCAAGGAGAGAGAGCTGGAGCAAAGATCGCCCACGATAGCTATCTTATCTCGCTCAATGCTCATTACTCTACTTCCTGTTGCACCTCCAGCACACTGCGTTCTCTGTGTAGTATTAGTACGTAAAGCTTCTCTAATTGCCCCAGCGTTGTTCACTGACACCGTAGAGCAGATGATCATTTGTCTACGTTGACGTGACACGTGAGATTTCTAAAAGCACCCGAGGCCCGTTGAAATCTCCACCCTGTAATAACTGCAGCTATCTGTGTTCGTCACCCGACGGTGGTGCAGTTACAGCTGACCTGAGCGTGTCTCTAATAGGATGTAACTGTCTGCACACGATTGTTTTTGCCCTTTAATGGCAGCTTTCATTCCAGCGGTTACGCCCGTATGAAAAAAGATACACTCAGGTGAATTCTTGTTGTCGTACTAAACCATTTTAGCCCTTCCCTGTTCTTCGCCTGCAGCCAGCAGCTCATTGTCTTCAATTTAAAAAGAGAGAATGCTGCTGGTTTTGCTCTGGCAAGCTTGGATTCCTTCGACAGATTTTATGTGCATTTTTTTTTTCCCATCCTCGGGGTTGAATGTAAAGGTAAGGGAAGCAGCCTGTGGGATTTGCAGCGAGGAATCATCTACTTTTTGTGCTGCTCATATCCACTTTCAGAAACGCCTTCTCTGTTTGAGAGAGAAAATACACACACACACACACACACACATGCAGACACACACATACTGTTATCAGTGGTTTACCAAAGCCCCAACCACCATCAGGGGAAGTGAGATAGGAAATGGATACTTCCAACAACTTCCTGATGTTTCCGGTGATTTTGAGGGCAAACAATTGTCACAGCTTTCAAAAGAGATTATGAGAAGAAAACGTGGCAATGAGAAATGGCTGATTTTCCTCTTAAAAACTTCAAAGAGTGGCCGTGGTGACTCGGTGGGCTCAGATTAAGTTTAATCATGGTATCTTTGAAACAAATCCAACCTGAAACCTTTGCGGCATGATAAGTTTTAGAAATGTGGAATTCATTTTTCTTCCCAGTAATGAATACCAGAATCTTAAAATTGCCGGTTTCTAAAGTTTCGATGGAATCCTGACTAATCTCCTTGAACGCAGATTTGAAAATTGAAATTCCGTGTGCAGACTTGATATACAAGGGATGAGTAAACATTTGCTTGTCTCTCGACTTAAAAACACAACAGACAGGAGAGCTGCGATTTATTCAACTGCAAGTCGTTCTAAACAAGCTAATGCATGCCAGGTGACCAACCTCATGACCCAAAAGCCAAGAAAAATAAATAAATAAAAGAGGAACATTTGACCTATTAAGATGAACCACGGAAACTATGACAACCATTTGTGGCATGAACACAGACCACCTT